TGTTGGGACAATCAATCATAACGGGAAAACATTTGTATAATTACTCAACAAACATGTTATAGTCAAATTGTTAGCTGTGTTTTTCACTCTCTTTTTTCAGATCCCCTCTTCCTTTCTCTTGACAAACCATCACTTACTTCCTCTTCTTTTGTTATCCTACACATTTTTCATTGTATACCACTGGGTATCAGCATTACTCACACCATAGGTGTTTCTTTTAGTAGTCTTTTGGATTGCCTGTGAATTAACCATGTCCTCAGCAAGAATACTTACTCATAACAGCGTGAGATAATGATAGAATTTGAGTCTTTAATCTGCATTTGTGGAACCTTTCCTCATAGTTTGTGTGTGCATGTGAAATTTTGTGCAGTTTTTCCCCCGACCTTTTTTTAAACGAGCCTATTTGATGGAGTTATATGAGAAGAGACAGTGTTTGTTTTACATATTTATTTTTAAAACAAAAAATGAGCTTTATCTGTAAATGACTGTTCAAAAGAACATGGTAAATGGTCACAGAAACAAGAGTCTAATGCATTTCACAAAAAAAGTGTTATCTTATATTTATTTCAGTGTTTATTTCTCTAAATTTGCTTGTTAATTTAGGTTCATATACAAGCTTCTGTTAAGGTCTTTACAGTCCTTCCACTATTAAGTAATAGTTTACAGTCTTTTACAGTTTTTTACTTGTTAAACATAATATTTGCCATATCTGATATGTAAATGCATTGAAAAATATGTTTATCATATAAGTGCAGCTTTAACAACTTTTGAAATGTTTAATTTACTTTTAAACCTTGTTTGGATGGTACAATCTATCCATGGAAATTCATAGTTAGTACATTTAAAGAAGCCTATTTTTCACTTCAAATGCCACAAAGCCTTTATATGTCACATCAAGGAATACTTAAAATCTTTCATTTATCATGTACAAGCACAATAATAGCCATATTCTAATCTCCAATCAAGGGCAACCATCACAGTTTATTGGAAAAGAAACTGATTACTTGAGCATACCATAAATCCTCCTAAAGTCTGCATGCTAACAATCACTGTGACATGCTTATTGAAGTCTATGGGAGGTTTTCTACTGATTTCAAGTTGGGCTTCGAGTCTGCCCCAAAAGCACATGATTCATTATCATTTGGCCTCTTCACAAAAATATTGATTTATTACATATATTTTTATCATATCAATTGTAGATTTCCAAAAGTATATTAACCCACTGATATTTTCATATTAATTATATTTTGGGGTGGGAGGTGACAAATTTCATACCAGAGAGTTTTTTAAAATATATTGAATATTTTATAATAATCTGCACAGTTTCCAGATTTTTTACATATAGTGAAAGATCTCAAGTTATTTTCAGTGTGTCACATTAATGTCACCAAAACTTCTTCCAAAGAAAAGAGTTCTGTTTTTCATTTTCCGATTTTCCTTTTATTCTGTCTAGCCTAGTCTGTCCATATTTTTTTTGGTCTTTTTAGTTTGATCCGTGCTTTCTGATTGCTACAGTGTGTGTCGCTTCTTATTTGATTTTCCTATCTACTATTTTAAATCCCTGCCTATTTTTCTGTTCATTTTTATAGATATTTTGCTGTTTCTTTGTGCTGTTTCTATCTCAGGGCTCAGTCCTAAGTACAAAGAGCTGCAAACTCCCACCAATGTGTGCAGTGTTTATCCCCAAAGGCCTTCTCACCCCCTTGTGGACCATGCAGGGAATGAAATTGTGAGATGTCGTCGTGTCAGGGGTGTAAAAAGGCTTCTTACAGGCTTCTTTCCCATCCCCCTCACGTACAAAGGCTAGTCACAATCTGAGCCTAAATTATTAGTCTAACAGCAATACAACGAATATAATCTGAAATAAAACAAGTAAGCACCATTTCTTAACCCCTCCTTGAAAACTCTGTCTAGTCAAAGCATCAGTATTAACAAGTGTCACCAAAGAGTATTATAAACTCTCCATTGTATGGTCTTGTTCCCCTTTTGAAGATTGCCTCATGCTGTGTGGGGTGGAGATTCTTTTTAAACATCACTGAACTTTTTATGCTCATCCTACAGTATTTCAATACATACGCACACTATCTATCTGTATCGATTGGTTGTCCCTTGTCTTGTCTTATACTTACAAGTTAAGTTCTTCAGGGGCAGGCGCTGTCTTTTTGTTCTGTGTTCGTACAATGCCTAGCAAAATGGGGTCCAGGTGAATAACTGGGGCTCCTAGGTACTGGGTTAATACAAATAATGACATTACTATTATCAGTGAGCCCTTGAGGAAATTCAGGGATATGTCTGTGTCACAGGGTCTGCTCAGACTTCCCCTCCCTCACAGTGCTCCTAATTCCTCCAACTGCTATCCCCCTACACACCCTTCTCAGGGTCTGCTGGCCTTTGAGCCTTCCTTCAGTTGGTACAGAGGCAGAAATGCAGCCCTCCTGTCCCCTACCAGGCTAGTCCTGACTGAACTTTTCTCAGGGCTTATATACAGCTGTCTCCACTTGGCTCAGCCTATTCCTCTGGGCCAGCCCTCTTTAGGGCCTGCAGCTGGGCACCCTGCTGAGTGCCTGGGCCCCCGGTACCTGGCCACCCTGCCAGGAAGCAGGGTGCGGCCAGCCCTTTTTAGCAGGGTGTTCACAGAGTTTACTTCTGCCCTGCCACAGTCTGTTTAATGTATTGGGTGCCATTGTGTTCCTTTATTGTAGAACATGCTTGTTGAACATATTGTAGAACATGTGTTGAGTATGAAATCATTTATGAAGAATGACACCAGGATGATTATCAGATTGAACTGTCATCTCTATGCATTATAATGCAATTTTATTTAGTTAAGCAGCAGATGTATAATGATGTTAGAATTCATAAATCATTTATCAGATAATTTCCTTCATTATTCCATAATAGCCTAGTTTTTTTAGGGAGATTTTCTTCCTTTCCCGGTGTCCAATTTAATTTAAAACAAAAATATGTCTGGGTTTCTCAGGACAGAAGCCCTGAAAAATTAAATTTTTAATGGCTTCTGGACATTTTAAAAAATTGAATCAGGCGCCTTATGAGAACATTGATCCTTCCTCTGCAGATCTCTTTCAATTTATCCTATGAACGTATAATTTCCAGGCACTGCAGCCTGGCTACAAATCCATCAGTCACATGGAAAACTGATAGTATTTTGTTCTGACACATTTATAAATGCTAAGTATAATAAAATTGGTAAAATTGAAAAAATAGATATTGTTTATACAGTGAAAGATACCTTGGGATAGAATTTAAAAGTTCCCGTTAAAGGTTACCTTGTTTCATGTATTTAATTCTGTGCACCAATCAGTCTGGCTACTGACCATATGATATATTTAAAACTAACTAATTAAATTCAGTTTCCCAAAACATACAGCCTGCATCATGGGAAGAAAGTTCCTTCTAGTTGATCCATAGTTGAACAAATGCTTGATGAAAATTATTTGCCTTGTGCAGCACATTTAAGATGAGTACCTGTGGGCTGAGTGAGTGACTTCCATAGTGGGGAAAACACTCTGGGTCTGATTCTTATTTACGGTAAGGCCCCTTTTATCGCTCTGGCTGTACTAATTTAAGCTGTGTGTAAAAAGGCACTAGTATAAATCAGAATTTAGGCCTCTGCCTCTAGTCCTTAAAAGTATCTCACGTGATCTTAGTGATTCAGCTGTAAAGTACTTCTTCCTAGCAAACCTTGTATATTGTAAAAAGAAAAGGAGTACTTGTGGCACCTTAGAGACTAACCAATTTATTTGAGCATGAGCTTTCGTGAGCTACAGCTCACTTCATCAGATGTATACCGTGGAAACTGCAGCAGACTTTATATACACACAGAGAATATGAAACAATACCTCCTCCCACCCCACTGTCCTGCTGTATATTGTAGATTTGTGAGTATGATACTGCAGTTGTAACTCTCTCTCCCTCTTTTGCATTTTGATGAGCCACTGAAATATGCCCTGATATTTTGTTGCTGTCTTTGGAAATCATTAGTAAGACTACGTTTTAGTCATGGGTATTTTTAGTAAAAGTCATGGACAGGTCACAGGCTGTAAACAAAAATTCACTACCCGTGACCTATGACTTTTACTAAAAATACCCATGACTAAAACTTGGAGGGAGGGCTGCCCGGGGGGCTGTGGGTGGAGGGGGAAGGTGTCCCAGGTGCTGGGGAGGGGGCAGGTAGCAGCACGTGGCCCGGGATCTCTGCTGGTGCTGGAGCGGGAAGGGGGTGGCCCGGGACTCCCGCTGGTGCTGAGGGGGCATGGGAGGCAGCGTGTGGCCCAGGACCCCTGCTGTTGCTGGTGTGAGGGGGTTTGGTGGGGCTGGCAGGCTTCCTACCTGGTTCCGCGCCTCCCCTTTACTCCCAGCAGCAGAGTGTGGGGTTGGGGCACAGAACAGGGTGAGGCGGGCTCTGGGCAGAACTTACCTGGGGGGCTCCCTGGAAACGGCGACATCCCCCCTCTCAGCTCCCTGCGGAGGCGTGGCCAGGCAGCTCTGTGTGCTGCCTCTGCCCAGAGTGCTGGCTTCGCAGCTCCCATTGGCCAGGAACTGTGACCAATGGGAGCTGCGGGGGTGGTGCCTGCAGGCAATGTCTTTCTCTCTAGGTACTTATATGGACCTCATTATATCTCTAGTGTGTGATTGCCTCCCTAGTAATTAAAAATCAAACAGTACAAATAACCTCTTTCTCCCTTCCTCACCTGTTAAAAGAAAAACCTCAAAATACATATTGGTATGTTTAACTGGATGGGCTGAGTAAATGAATGCACTGAAAGAAGCTATTGTGCAGATTTTTAAATGTTTTTTGTTCAACAAAGTACAGTTTTCAGTATTATTACTTACTGTTTTATTACACTAGTGCCTAGAGGTCTCAATAAAATACAGTAATTTATTTCTAATTCAGGAGAAAGTAGAATTTCATCTGAGGGTTTCAGAAGTAGAGCAGGAGTTTATTAACAATTCTAATATCTCTTTTCCTTTCTCTACAGGAAACTCACATTATTCTCTTCATGGCCAGCAGAAAAAATAGACTTTCTTGTTCACTGCTCCCTACAGAGATTTTACAGGTGGTTGTTAGGGAAATGCAACAAAATTTAATAAGAATAGATAATACTTTTCCTGTAAAATTAGTTAGGCTATTTTATAGGCAGGTGCAAATGTAGCCCTATTTTAATAACTCGAGAAGTGTTTGTTTTGATCTATATTTGTAGACATTAGATTGTATTTGTGTGGACTTCATACTTCATCAGTATAAACATTAATAATAAGATTGATATAGTAATACTCTGGATTTACATTGGTGTAACTAGGAATATGAGCTACTCTTGAGCTAAGTGAATGGAGAATCTGCTCCTAAAAACTGCAGTTTCCTACATAACTAGAACATATAACACATAACTTCTAACACTGTTGCAAAAAGGGGAACAGCAGTATTTTTCTACTCATGAGCATTAAGTTTTACCACAAGGGAAACTAAGGTATTTTTCGCAAAAAAAAACCAAAAACAAAACTAAGGTATTTTTGTAAACATTCTATGTTAAGCCACTGAAGCTTTTGGCTTGTTTCCAGAGCTCCAGCACTGTCCACTTACATGGTACTGAATTGCTATAAGAAAGTTTTGGATAGTGGCATCACTGACCCTTTTGTTTCAGAATATCTGTGAAGGAGTTTGTAAACGCACTGACATCTATTCCGTTTTTCTATTGTCTTCAGGACAGGAACAACTGTTGTTCCAGAAAGTTTAAACTCTTACTTCTTAGTAGTTGTAAAATCGGTAAGTGTGTTAAAGACACATCATATGGCAGAAATGACATCCTATAATTCCTGGTGTAAAAGCTCAGATAACTGGAGGTCAGAGTAAGGAATAAAACTGAATATAAGAAAACTTTGTGAGCATGATGCATGTGAAAACTGGTGCTAGCCTCATGCGGGGATGTAATCTTTGAATACAGCCTATAGGGAGCTACTTGCATTTTTTAGTTTACATTGTGGGTCTGACCCTGCATTCCTCATTCAGACAATAGCTTCTCAATGACTTTCCTTTCACTTTCAGCTCTTTGACTACAATGGGAAGCTTTGCTTGAGAAAGGACCTCAGGATCAGGAACATACTGTAAATTCATTCTATTCTGAGGTAGCATGGGGATCCTGTTTTTCCATGACAGTGTTTTGAAAGATGTTATTAATCCATTACATGTCTGAGAGATTTTTCAGTCATTATAGCTATGAAGAAATCTACCTCAAGTCATATTGGGCTACATTTTTAGCCTGTATTGGTTTTGTGCCTCACAAAACAGAAGCTGAAAACTTGGCCCAGAATATTCACGTATGAATCAAGCAGTTAAAGTCTTGTAAAAATATCTAGACCATGAAAATGATATTCTCAGGTTTCAAATCTTGGATATGGTTTCACAGAGTACAGTTTATAATGGCTTGTCCTAAAAGGATTGCATGTTTATGAAACACTATTTAACATATGTATTTCTATATATGTTATTAGCAGATCAGTCCTTTCTTCAAACCCAGAATTCTAAGGCAGTGTGGTCTGGCAGAATGAGCATAGGCTTGGGAGACAAAAAGTCCAGAGTTTAGCTCCAGACTCTGTCACTGACTCACTTCATGGCTTTGTGCATGTCACTTAGCCTTTCTGTCTCAGCTTTAGCACAATGGGGATAATAATACTTAGCTGTCTTACAAGGGTGTTGTGAGGATTAGCTAATGTCTGTACAGTGCTTTGAAAATACAAAGCACCATACACATTCTAAGTATTATTTAGTTTATAAATGATAACAATAAACCTTTAAGAATTAAAGGCCAAATTGCCCATCTTGTGGGGAAACACACCAGTGGTGGAGAGGAAGGAGGCCAGAATAGTATGTGAAGTTCGTATTGTGGAGTTTCCCTCACACTGTTGCACTGGGGTAAAGAGGTTAACTCCCTGACCCCACATGCCCCAGAATATAGTATGTGCATTCCCCAAGATCCACTGGAGGACAGTCTGCCCCAGTGGCGGATTAGCTACTGGGCTGACGGTGTTTGTGCCCCCAGAAGCCCTGGGCAATTGGGGGCCCCTATAAAAATGGGCACCCCGGTGCCCCAACCCACTCTGCCCACCCGCCCAGCATTCCTATGGGGTCCCCGGCAGGAGCACCAGGCAGAGAGGGGCAAGCCCCTGTACCCTGACCCCATTTCCCTGGCAGGAACGTGGGGAGGGGAAATGCAAGCAGAAGGGGTGGAGAGGGTCCCCCACTTGCTCAGGCCCAGGGCCCCTCAAAGCCATAATCCTTCTCTGCTCTGCCCATGTGGAGACCCTGTGAACACCCTCCAGCGCACTGTTTTTTTCCTTCCTTCTGTCTGACAGCTTCTGCCACTGGAACTCTCTTTAAAGGAGGCCTCCATAGTGCAGAAGGAACTCAGTGGAAAGGCTAAAATAGCCTTCTAAGTTTTGGGCAGGTTGCATCCCTACCGACCACCCATCTCTTCCTCTCTGAAGACCGCAGAGTCCAGTGAAGGGGAATCTGCATGGGACAAATGGGTGGGAATGGTATCACGGAAACCGCATTCCTGCCCCTATCAGCTAGGCAAGGAGAAGTCCTTGCAGGGAGGGTCTCCTGTGTGCAGAGCATCAAGGATTGCAATCTGGCTCTGTGTTTTTTCCCTCTAAAGGCTTGTTTTTCTACATATTTTGATTCATTCATAAATGAGGCAGTATTAATGCAGTCTAAAAAACGCTCATGTGCTGCAAACTGTTTTTCGTGCTGCTGCCTGACTGCTGCCTAATTAATCCTTAGTATGCTAATTGCATCACCTTTTCCATGGTTCATTGCTAAACTGGAAGTTTAGAGAGGAAACCCATACAAAAGCTGATCAGGACTTGAAACAGAGCTTTGAGTTATGTGAAAACTATAAATCTGATCCTAATTATGGCTGGGGAATTCATATCCAATTTTATAATGTCATGTCATGTGTATTCCTAGTGGAAAGTAAGAACTTGTACATCAAGACTTTTTATTTAAAATTTATTGGTGTGGTTTGATATACACCATGGAATATATATGTATATAAATAATTTTCCTGACTTGGAAAGCAGTTAAATTTTCCCCCTGGGTTTGGGGAAGCAAGGTAGGACCCACAGATGGTTTAGAAAGCCTGATATAAACTGCAAGAACTATGTAACCAAAATTAAGAGAAACTAATTTTAGGACTGATGTTTTTATAAATAATGGCAAAAGTAATTGTGTTTTAAATGCTGGCAAAAACCTTTTTAAAAATAAAACTTGTATGGACTGTTGTTCTTGCCCCAATAGTTATATAATTAAATTACTTTGCTAGGAAATATTAAGGAGATGCGTTCTTATATCAAATTATGGAGATTTGCAAATGCAGCTGGTATTAACAGTAATGTGATTTACACATTTACCCTTTGCATCCAGTGAATTTTTTTTCCAAAGTGCTGTATTTCACCGATGTGAACATTTTTTACTGGGGATCAGTATTTGAATAGGTTGTGTGTCTAGGGGCACAGGTATACATTCATGGTTATCCCATAGCTGACTTATTACTATGTTTAAATGCTCTTCTGAATTGGGGCCTTTATTAGCACAGTTTCAGACAGCTGAAAGTTATTTTGAAAAAGCTGCCTTATGTTTAATTTGAACAGTCAAAAATAAGTTTTAGTGCTTAGTAGAACAGACAATGCATTTTAATTACCTTTACAGTGTGAACTTTTTTAGAACACATTCTTGTTTGGAGTTACTTTAGCAAGTCTGATAAAACTTATATTCCTTGCAAGCAAAACTCACTTGTGAAGAAATCAGACAGGCTACCTGAGTAATTCAGGGGAAGTAAATTTTGCAATTGTTCAGATAGATATTGCATAACAACCCCCACTATTACTGTAACATTTAAACTTAAGTGAGAAACATACAGTGGAAACCTTGTGCAATATTTTGAAAATGTATCCCTTTATTCTTGGAAGATGAATTTGCTTCTACAAAAGCTTCTATCACAGAACATCATATTAAATAAGTCAACTAGTATCAGTATGATGGTTTAATCTGCACATTTTATTTTGCACATTGTCAAAATAAAATTGTAGGTCAGACACGGAAAAGAGTAATGGTAACATTTTAGGCAATGTAGAATAACAAAAACATCTCTAAATATTATTTCCATCTAATCATAATCTCCATACATTTCCAGGGTCGATGTCTGATAGTGACACAACTGGATCAAGAGAGAATATATGCACACTCCAATGAAATGCAGAATTTTTCTTCTCTTTGTAATAATTTTAACACAATATTGTCCTTAAAAGAAAAGAAGGATTTGACTGGAAGACTTTGGGAAAGTAAGTGTCTTTGTCATGGTAGGTAACAGTTTAAAATACTTTAACCCTTATTTGGAGGATAGATAACCAGCATTTCTGAATATTGTAATCTCTTTCTCTATGTAAATGCTATGAATAAGGGGTGGGATTTTCAGATGAGCCTAAGCTGTTTAGGACTACAAGTCTTACTGACTTTTGTTTCTAAGACACGTAGGTGCTTTTGAAAATTCCACACATGGCAATTACAATTACCTAAGGGTGACAGTGGACGAGAAGCTGGATATGAGTCAGCAGTGTGCCCTTGTTGCCAAGAAGGCCAATGGCATTTTGGGATGTATAAGTAGGGGCATAGCGAGCAGATCGAGGGACGTGATCGTTCCCCTCTATTCGACATTGGTGAGGCCTCATCTGGAGTACTGTGTCCAGTTTTGGGCCCCACACTTCAAGAAGGATGTGGATAAATTGGAGAGAGTCCATCGAAGGGCAACAAAAATGATTCGGGGTCTGGAACACATGAGTTATGAGGAGAGGCTGAGGGAGCTGGGATTGTTTAGCCTGCAGAAGAGAAGAATGAGGGGGGATTTGATAGCTGCTTTCAACTACCTGAAAAGGGGTTCCCAAGAGGATGGCTCTAGACTGTTCTCAATGGTAGCAGATGACAGAACGAGGAGTAATGGTCTCAAGTTGCAGTGGGGGAGGTTTAGATTGGATATTAGGAAAAACTTTTTCACTAAGAGGGTGGTGAAACACTGGAATGCATTACCTAGGGAGGTGGTAGAATCTCCTTCCTTAGAGGTTTTTAAGGTCAGGCTTAACAAAGCCCTGGCTGGGATGATTTAACTGGGAATTGGTCCTGCTTCGAGCAGGGGGTTGGACTAGATGACCTTCTGGGGTCCCTTCCAACCCTAATATTCTATGATTCTATGATACAATAACACACAATGTAGTCTGGAAAAAGTCTAAACATTCGGAATATATTGTTCTATTCCACACTGTCTGTTGTGGTAACATTTGGGGAGCTCATGTTTAGTAGTTACACATACATCTTGGTTGTTGGGTTTGAAGCACCCACAGGGAGTTGGGAGGGGAAATACGTGTAGCGTCACAGTATCAAGCATTTGTGGGCTATCCACTAAGGAGCATCTTTTAAATCTAAGAAAAGAGTTCGTTGTTACCTTAGTGGTGCAATGGAGCTGGGAGGGACTATAGAATTCTAAAGTGAAAACTGGTGGCCATACTTAAAATGTTAATTAAAACTCCAAGTTCTTAATGAACAAGCTAGATCTCCTAGGATCATGTAACTGGAAGTGAGGGCATCCTTTGCATATGCTGTCTTAAATTAGCAAATCCCCTCATGGAAGGAAAGAAAGTGATGTCAAAGCTTACTGCTATAATTTCCATGGTAACACTAATGTAAGTGACTTGACTTACTTTTATTTTCTTCTTGTTTTTATTTGTTAAAAATCTCCATTTTTCATTAAAACAAAATTATATTGAGGCCAGCAAACAACATCAAATTAAGTCCTACAAATTACAGTGTGAGTTGTCAAATTCTCTCTCTAGATTGGGAATTAAATTAACAAAACAAAATCAAATTAAGTCACCCTGACTTTTATAATGATGTAGTTTCAAGGATTTATTATAATATCTGTTATGTTAATATCTCAAATCGCTGTTACAAAAGTCATATTTGATTTGATTTTAGGATCTCTGTATTCAGCTGCTCAGAGAACACCTCTTACCCAGATGCCCAGAAGACAAAGACCTCAAGTAGGACAACCATTTCTACCTCTTAGTTTAGAATCTTCCTTTTCTGGGTCATTTCTTAGGAGGGTGGCATCATCCCCTTCCTATGGTGCAGATTTGCAGAAGTTTTTAAACTCTTCATGTACCAGTGAAGGGGATCTTCTGTTATAGTTTATCCCTTGAGTTCAAGATGCAACAGCCAGTAAAGAGGATCGTGAAAGCCCTTGAATATAGATACCTGCTGACAGAACTTTTCTACTTGCCCCACTTACATAGTCATTGAGAGAGAGAATGAGAATGATTCTATATCCTGGAGGTTCAGGCACTCACCTGAGAGGGAGAGACCTAGGGTTTAATCCCCCTGCTTCAATGACTATTTAAGTACTTATCCAAAGTGGAACAGGGACAACAGGAGAGATGGAGAGAGACTACATCAGAATATCCCAAAGACAACTGTTTGGGGCACCCTTCTCAGAGGTGGGAAATCCCTGTTCAAATCCTCTCTATCAGGCAGAGGGGGAAAGTGAACTTGGGTCTCCCATATCCTGGGTAAGTGCTCTAAGCAGTGAGCTAAAAATGATGAGGGAGACATCGCTTCATCCAGCTGGATTTTTGGGTGGTGCCTGATCCCATAGGCGTGCTCTCAGCAAACCCACGGGATTGGACCCCACAGGCGAGATAAGCATTGCCCCAGCTATCTTTACCTGGTCTGAAGATCATGCTGGGCCTTAAGCATGAGATAGGCATTGTGCACATGCTGAGTGGCAGAAATTTTAATAGAGAGAATTTAGGTGCTAGGGAATTTTAGGTACCTACAGGACTAGGTAGCAGCCAGGAAGGGGTTTTGAGGGTCTGACTGGTGCCTACATTTTGGACGTAAGCACCTCTAGTGAGGAGTTAGGCTCCTAAGTACTTTTATGAATCTGGGCCTTTGTGCCTAAGCTGGTAGAACTGAAGATAATGGGAGCAGGGCTGGTCTGGTCCCATTAATAGTGTGCTTGTTTCTTTTTTGTTTATTTGGATAGCACCAACGGTGTGCACATAAATGAAAGGCAGGCTGTGAATAATTACTAACAAATAATCATAATCAAATAATATCTTAAACATATTGTAAGGTGGTAAGCATGCATTTTGAGAACACTGAGTATGCAAAAATACTTTAACAGTAAGATGTCTGCTGTGCAGAACTGAGCAAGTACAGAATTTGTGAAAAGAAAATATTCTTCTTTTCCTATACCTTACTCATGATTATATAGCATAATTCACTCATTTCTGATTTAATATACTGTTTTTATCATGGTGTTCAGATTGTAATATTACATAGCATGAAATGACAGTGTGCCTTTAACTGGATTACTCATGCCACACTTGATTTTATTACAAGAATATTATAAAAAGGCAGAGAAAATGAATCATTTCCTAAGTTAATTAATGTATCGCTTACCAACTGTCATTAAACCCTAGTTAATTAAATATAGTGGCAAAGTTAATGAAGAAGACGGATACTTTCCTAAAACAAATGAACAAGTTGCTTAAAATACAGGTTCCTTTAACATCTTCCTTGATTGATTTAATAGACAGTTGCGGTACTATGTTATTCGCTCAGGGATAGAAGAGCCTTTGGTGATCTGGAACAGAAAGGTAATGAGGCATTGCATGCAAATCTAATAGAAGGTAAGCATGGTCTGAAGTGACAAGTGTATCAGAAATAGGATGACCGATGTCCCGATTTTATAGAGACAGTCTCAATATTTGGGGCTTTGTCTTATATGGGCACTTATTACCCCCCACCGCCGTCCTAATTTTTCACACTTGCTGTCTGGTCACTCTAGTCAGAAAGCAACATACAGTGCTGAAAAGCATATTGAGACGTTCCAAATTGGAACTTCTTTTCCTTATAGCTACCACATAGTTGCAGACAAACTGATAAAAAAATAAGTAGAATTTTATAAATTACTAATTTTAAATACTAATTTAGCAAATCTAAGTCAAAAGTGTGGAACTGTGGAAATAGTGAAAGTAAAAATCCTAATTCTATCCCTGCATATTATAATTTTCTCTTCTGCAAGTGGAGCTGTCACCTACCTTTTGTAGATGTACCTTTCTGTATTTTAAAATATTTCTCTGCACAAAAATAGCGATAGCTAGTTTTCTACTCTGTGCAATTTAAAACAATTATTCTGAAAAATCTCTAATTCACAAATTATTCACCCACAGAATCTATGAAAACAAGGGAATTTAAAAGTCATGATTGTGAGGTTTTTTTTGTTTTGTTTTTTTTTAGGACTAGGTGAAAAAGATGCTGAGACGAAGAGAGGTGGCAGGAAACAAAAGGCATTAAAATATTGCATTTTTCTCTTGAATCTGTTTTTTAACATTAAATGAGAAAGTGAGAATACGTTTGCAACATAAAATTAAAATAAATGAACCATACAAAACTTTCTTATAAATTTACTTCAATTCTCTGTTAAAAATTTATAAGAAATTTACATTTTGGTTAAGAAAACCTTTAAAAGAAATAAAAGTAGAACTAAAGATGCCTATATGATGGTAAGAAAGATCAACATCTTTATTTAACTTGGCATGTGCAAATTTATCAAGAAATGATCATTAAATTTGATAGAATAACTAAAGTATTATCAAAAAGTAGTAATCCTATTGAAGACCCTGATCCTGCAAAGACTTTTGCATGTACTTAATTTTACGCACTATCAGTGGCTTCAATGGGGCTACTCACAAAGTATGTAAGGTTAAACATGTGCAAAAGTCTTTGTGGGATTGGGATCTAATTCGGTTCTATACTGAGAAGATAATTTTGTTATCAATATTGAAACTAGGCACCTATAATACAGGACCTTAGTAAGTGCCAGTCAAACCCTATGGGGCCCAATCCTGCAAAGATTTAAGACTATACCTAACTTTATTCATGTGGATATTCTCACGCAAGTCATACCTTAATCACTGGATTAATCACATATAAGCATAATATCTTGATCCATTATGCACATTGCAAGTTAAATTCAAATATTTAACTTTATTACCATCATCCTGTAAGCATCTGTATTTCAATTTATGACTAATGTTTGTCGTACTTTGAGCCCGAATTTTTAACAGATCTTTTAACAACTATTCATAGGCAATGGTGCACAAGCCAGTACAGGGAATCATTACAAGGCATCTTTTAAATCCCACCCTGTGAACGCTGTACCTGCAATAAGCATAGTTTACTACCAAACCCTATATGTGATGTATACATACCTGAAAAAGATTTTGATTAATTTATGGCTAAGTAAGTTCTTCAGGGGCTGAGCACTCTGTTCCAATTCAGCAAAGCGCTTAAGCATATGCTTAATCTTAAGCACGTATTGGCCCCTTTGATGTTTAAGTTTTTTGCTGGATTGGGACTAGAGTGCTCAGCACCTCACAGGATTGAGCCCACAGAGTCAGTTCCAAAGCTCATTGAACTCAATGGGAGTCATTCCATTGATTTCAAATCAATGGGCTTAGGATATAGCTAGGTTTGGATTGGAGCAACCAGGGATTTTACCATGCTCACTCCAACCTGGTATTACAACTATTCACTACTTTGAACGTTCTCATTCCCAGACATAGCATTCTTGGAGAGAGGAGAAAGGTCTGTTTCCAACAATGACATAATTGTGCAAGCCTATAGTTGCCGTTGCTGTGACATTTTTCTGAATTATCTCCTGTATGGGACAAACTTTTGGGAATGATGGAAAGAACATAGCATATTTCATATTGCTTTTCCTGTGATTTTACCTCATAGGGTATCACCAACAGAATAAGGGAGGGGAAAAATTAGTACACATCACAATGTCAAAATAATTTTATTTACAAGACAAATTATTTGTTAATCCCAGGGGCCCTGATTCAGCAATTCCCATAAGCGCCTGCTTAATTTTAGCAACATACTTAAGTGCATTGTTCAGTAGTGATAGAGTTAATGTGATTAATTTCAAGCACTTAATTTCAAGCAAATGCTTAAGAGTTTTACTGAATTGGACCTAAATTCTTAATATCCTACAGGATATATTCTATAACACAACCTATTCCTTAATATCTGTACCAGTCCCTACATTCATAAAGTATTTTAATGGTTTCATTTTTTCTTCTTTTAATACTGCACCCCGGCAAACATTAATACTGATCATTCAGTTAGTCCAGTTTATTATCTTGTTCCCAGACTAGGTTTAAAAAGTGATGCCAATGTTAGTCATATAGCTGTAGGTCTGGTCAGTTATTGCACTGTAATCTTCTCCCACAAGAACAATCAATATGTTTCTTGACAGGTTTCAGAGTAACAGCCGCGTTAGTCTGTATTCGCAAAAAGAAAAGGAGTACTTGTGGCACCTTAGAGACTAACCAATTTATTTGAGCATGAGCTTTCGTGAGCTACAGCTCACTTCATCGGATGCATACCGTGGAAACTGCAGAAGACATTATATACACACAGAGACCATGAAACAATACCTCCTCCCACCCCACTGTCCTGCTGGTAATAGCTTATCTAAAGTGATCATCAAGTTGGGCCATTTCCAGCACAAATCCAGGTTTTCTCACCCTCCGCCCCCCCACAAACAACCTCACTCTCCTGCTGGTAATAGCCCATCCAAAGTGACCACTCTCTTCACAATGTGTATGATAATCAAGGTGGGCCATTTCCTGCACAAATCCAGGTTCTCTCACCCCCCTCCAAAAACCACACACACAAACTTGCTCTCCTGCTGGTAATAGCTTATCCAAAGTGACCACTCTCCCTACAATGTGCATGATAATCAAGGTGGGCCATTTCCAGCACAAATCCAGGCTTTCTCACCCCCCCCCCCCCCGCCCCCGGGAACACACACACACAAACTCACTCTCCTGCTGGCAATAGCTCATCCAAACTGACCACTCTCCAAGTTTAAATCCAAGTTTAACCAGAACGTCTGGGGGGGGGGGTAGGAAAAAACAAGGGGAAATAGGCTACCTTGCATAATGACTTAGCCACTCCCAGTCTCTATTTAAGCCTAAATTAATAGAATTCAATTTGCAAATGAATGCCAATTCAGCAGTTTCTCGCTGGAGTCTGGATTTGAAGTTTTTTTGTTGTAAGATAGCGACCTTCATGTCTGTGATTGTGTGACCAGAGAGATTGAAGTGTTCTCCGACTGGTTTATGAATGTTATAATTCTTGACATCTGATTTGTGTCCATTTATTCTTTTACGTAGAGACTGTCCAGTTTGACCAATGTAAATGGCAGAGGTGCATTGCTGGCACATGATGGCATATATCACATTGGTGGATGTGCAGGTGAACGAGCCTCTGATAGTGTGGCTGATGTTATTAGGCCCTGTGATGGTGTCCCCTGAATAGATATGTGGGCACAGTTGGCAACGGGCTTTGTTGCAAGGATAGGTTCCTGGGTTAGTGGTTCTGTTGTGTGGTATGTGGTTGTTGGTGAGTATTTGCTTCAGGTTGGGGGGCTGTCTGTAGGCAAGGACTGGCCTGTCTCCCAAGATTTGTGAGAGTGTTGGGTCATCCTTCAGGATAGGTTGTAGTTCCTTAATAATGCGTTGGAGGGGTTTTAGTTGGGGGCTGAAGGTGACGGCTAGTGGCGTTCTGTTATTTTCTTTGTTAGGCCTGTCTTGTAGTAGGTGACTTCTGGGAACTCTTCTGGCTCTATCAATCTGTTTCTTCACTTCCGCAGGTGGGTATTGTAGTTGTAAGAAAGCTTGACAGAGATCTTGTAGGTGTTTGTCTCTGTCTGAGGGGTTGGAGCAAATGCGGTTGTATCGCAGAGCTTGACTGTAGACGATGGATCGTGTGGTGTGGTCAGGGTGAAAGCTGGAGGCATGTAGGTAGCAATAGCGGTCAGTAGGTTTCCGGTATAGGGTGGTGTTTATGTGACCATTGTTTATTAGCACTGTAGTGTCCAGGAAGTGGATCTCTTGTGTGGACTGGACCAGGCTGAGGTTGATGGTGGGATGCAAATTGTTGAATCATGGTGGAATTCCTCAAGGGCTTCTTTTCCAGTTGTTTGTGGGGGGGCGGAGGGTGAGAGAACCTGGATTTGTGCTGGAAATGGCCCAACTTGATGATCACTTTAGATAAGCTATTACCAGCAGGAGAGTGAGTTTGTGTGTGTATGGGGGTGGGGGGGTGAGAAAACCTGGATTTGTGCTGGAAATGGCCCACCTTGATTATCATGAACATTGTAGGGAGAGTGGTCACTTTGGATAAGCTATTACCAGCAGGAGAGTGAGTTTGTGTGTGTGGTTTTTGGAGGGGGGTGAGGGAGTGAGAGAACCTGGATTTATGCAGGAAATGGCCCACCTTGATTATCATACACATTGTGAAGAGAGTGGTCACTTTGGATGGGCTATTACCAGCAGGAGAGTGAGTTTGTGTGTGGGGGGACGGAGGGTGAGAAAACCTGGATTTGTGCTGGAAATGGCCCAACTTGATGGTCACTTTAGATAAGCTATTACCAGCAGGACAGTGGGGTGGGAGGAGGTATTGTTTCATGGTCTCTGTGTGTATATAATGTTTTCTGCAGTTTCCACGGTATGCATCCGATGAAGTGAGCTGTAGCTCACGAAAGCTCATGCTCAAATAAATTGGTTAGTCTCTAAGGTGCCACAAGTACTCCTTTTCTTTTTGTGAATATGTTTCTTGGTAATCTTTCATTCCCAAGACATTTCCTTCCCATTACTTATGATGATTAAAACAAACGTACACAATTTTCCTTCTCAATCTCTAATTATATTGTAATGATATTTTCCTCCTTTAGGATTTGTTGCACCAATTTAGTCAAATCTAAATCTTTGCTTATTAACTTCCCTTCACCTCATATTTAAATAACTACTATTGGCAAATTGCTATCCTATTTTTGCTTTTATCATTTTCTTCCCCTTTTTTATTACCCGATACTAAACTTCTAACACGATTTCTACTGTAAGCCCATCTGCATTACAAGCACAGCCTTCCTGAGTGACCTGATCACAGTACAGTTGTTTCTTGACACCATTAGAGCACAGTTCCAAATATTTAGGCATGTGCTTAATTTTGTATAAGTGAGCAGCCTCATTGACTTCAATAGGGCTACCCGTGTGCTTAAAGTCTTTGCAGAAATGGGGCCCAAGACTTACAAAAGTACTACAAAACAATGTTTCCTCTTTCTAGATTCCTTTCCTTACCCTAATTACTAGAATATCCTATAATTAAATTTTGCTAGTTTTGTAATTGATATATTTTAAAAAAACATTTTATAAATCTGTGCCAGAAGAATAGTTTGCTGTAACTTAATAGAATACTTCAGAACTTGACATTGCTACTCCTATTGCTTTGAAAGTCACATGCCTAATGGTTTAGTTTTAAGAATACATCTTTTGAACTGAAAGAATACTAGCTGTCATTTTCCAAATGATTTAATACATACTATTGATGGTTTCTCCTTGTAAAAGTAACATTGATGTGTGGATTTGTAAAGACTACATTTATATACTGGTGTGACTGTGAAATTGTCTGTAGTGGTTGTTAGATTCTCGGACAGAAATCAGTTTCTCTGGTGATTACCTTGTACTATAAAGGAAATCGTTTGTACCATATTCACTCTATAGACAGGACCCTCCTTGGCTGGTGTAAATCAGCACGGCTCTAATGCAGCTAACAGAGCTATGTCCATTTACACTTGCAGGGAATCTGGCCCACTCTGTTTCAAAACATGACATATTTAAAATACAGACATACATATCAGTAACCCTAGATTTAATATTCTGGTGTAACTAACATAGCAATGCATTTGGATTGCAGCATCTAAATAATACTGACAATATACAATATCTTTAATGGTGTAAAGAGATCTCAGATGTTTTGTCAAGCATGCTCCTATTTTACCTCTGGCTTTACCTCTTTCCAGTTAATGGTCATAAGTGTTTCATGGTGGTCTTCTCTCTGCAGGTGGCTTCATCAGCTCCTCAGTTCCTGAAGATAAGGGCTCTGGAACAAGGTGGCATTTTTGTGAGTTTCTGTGATTAAATCTGTTGTGAAGTTGTGTGTGTAGGTTTGTGTATTTAAAAAATAGCTGTAACCTTCCCAGTGTGACACAGTGAGTCATTGACAGAACTGGGAACGGAACCCAGGAGTCCTGATTCCAGGACATTCCCTCCTTTACTCTTAGCTTTTATACCAATAATAATAGATTTAGAATTTGGGCAATCCATACCAAAAGTCGCTGGGTGCTTTAGCAAAATATTTTCAGAACTCTTAAGCTAAATAAATAAATGTTTAAAATATATTTTTAAAAGTTCAACTCTATACACATTCCAGGCAAAGAGGTAATTAAGTGTGACATATTCTTCACTCTTAATTTCTATCCATACTACTGTGAAAACTACAGTGATAGAGAATAGGTGGTAAGACACATCTCTATGGAGAAACAGCATCTGCCGTGAATGGCATAAGCAAAAGCTTCGATTAAGCTATGGTTGTCCTGAGAACTTTTCATATCACAGAGTGCAGCAATGAGGCAACAGTGGCAGAAATAAATGGTCATGTTTTGAACACTACATAGCTCCTCCTTGCATACTTTTAAGACACTAACACCGACAACAACCTTTGTGTAGTGCTTGAGCTACAGGGAGGGCAGAGACCATATTGGCTAGTCCCTGGGTACAAGTTTCTCCTCCACATAACATCTAAAGCCATGTGAAAATTACTTTAAGTTGGTGTTTAGCAGTTTGTCCTATCCCACCCCACCAAAAAAACAAACAAGCAGGAAATTTAAAAATTATTGTAATGGTCACTTTCAAATCAGTCCATACATCACTTACACTATATGTTTTTTTTGTGATATATGCCGATAACATACATAGGCCCAGATTCAGCAGAGCACTTAAGCATATGCTTAACTTTAAGTAAATGAGAATTCCCATTAAAGTCAATGGGCTTAAAGCACTTTTTAAAAGTAAAGTGCATGCATAAGTGCTTTCCTGAATTACAGTCTATATTTCCTACACTGAAATATTGCTGTGACTGTATCCTTCCTCTGAAAGCAAGGGGGAGGAGGGTCACTTATCCAGCTCTCATGGATTACCAAGGAGAAGAAAACAACTTTTAAAAATTGAAATATTGCACTACACTGGAGTAGACATTCCATCAGAGAGGATGGCTTATACTTTTACATCATTTGGCTTATACTTTTCTTGTGCTGTACTAAATTGCAATGGTTTCCACTTAGAAAAAATTCATATAGTTTGGCCCTATATTAAATCATGCTAACTTTTTAAAAAGTTCTTTATCATTGTAGGGTTTGGGAGAAACAATGGACAAGTTTTGTCGCCTTCAGTTCAGCTTGGTAAGAAGATTGGAAGGGAGGGTAGTAAAATGTTGGGGATTTTGGGTTTTTTTTTGTTTTGGGGTTTTTTTTGCGATTTTAACCAACTGGACGTATTATTTAAATGGAGGCAGCTGCCATTCTGCACTGAAATTAAAAAAATTATATTTAGACAAATGTAAGTCTGTACTTAAATTGCTGCAGTTTGGGCTGAGACCATATTCAGTTCCAAAATATATGTAAAAAATAGGCATTTCCAGTAATTGTGAGCCTGTCACAGTAAAGCCTGTGTGGTAATTACCATTCCTCCAGTAGGACTTGTTCTTAGTCTGAATGTTCCTGTTTCTTTTAATAAGAAAAATGAGCCTAAAAATTAAAAGAAGAAGAAAATCTTGAGGAAGTCATCTTGAATTGCTTATGTGCTCTGTAGGCATCACCACTGGGCTCTCTCCCTCTTTGTGATCATGCAGATGTGAAGAAGAAAGCTGTGACTGGTCCAATGGTTGGGAAAGAGGAAATTGATGACAATAGTCCTCATCCCCTCCATTACCTGCACCAATGGTCACTGAAATAGACAAAGCTATGGCTTGTGGTTACCTGTGACAGCTCTTGTTCTCCAACATATTCCTGAATATAGTTTGCAGTTTGTACACCATTATATCCCACTTAATAAAAGACACGGGGAAAAGAAAGAGAAAAAAGCCCTCTCTACACAAGCCATACTCAAGAAGGATATAAACTTGATCTTGGCCCAACTGGATTTCAGTATATTTTGGCAAACACATCTGGATGAGACCAAAGAACTTCAAAAAGAATACGCTCTATCCTAGGTCTCTACCTGGGATAAAGCATGATTGTTAAATGGTTAAACCATAACTTTAGCCACATCTACACTGTCTGGTGAAACTAGTCTGACCTGCTTAGATTATAATAGAGTTTAAACCACATTTAAACATGGTAGTCACAACACAGTTGTCATAGCTGTTTAGATGGGGCCTATTATACTAGCTCAACAAGTGGGTGTTATTCCAAAAAGCAATTGTCTCAGCTATTCAGTGGTTTTCAAAAACAAGCTGCACTTTGCATCTCTTGAGTTCACAGAGATTGCATTACAGCTAAAATACTATCAAAGCCTCCTAACATCTGTGTGCAGTTTCCTGTAGTTTGATCATCATTGACCAGGTGTCACATTTTGGGGTGCAACTCAGACCAGTGAAAGGTTGTTTCACCACTTGGTCCTGTAACTCTGAGTGCTTTAAAATGCTCTGCTGTGCTTGCTTCCTGTCTGGACAGATAAGCATGCACTGAGTATCTGTGTGTTAAGCAGCCCTAGTTCAGCAGCTCTGACTCTAGCAGCCTGTTTGTTACACAACAGCCACACTCTGGAGTCCACCAGTCTTGGTTACTACTAGCCTAGTGACCCCAATACACCTCCAGTCCCAGATTTCCTCATAACTGTCTACCCTGAAATGTCCAGTCCCAGGAATGTTTAGAGAAGTAGTAAGGTCCATTGCTCTTTTAAAGAGACAAAAACAGCAATGTGTTGCTTTAACTGGAGTTAATAATCACTTCAATTCAAACACAAACACTGGGTTAGTTTAGATTAAAAGTAAAACAAGTTTACTAATGGAAAGAGAGTGGATTTTAAGTGAGTTCAAGTATAAGGGATAAAGTCAGAATTGGTTACAAGCAAATAAATGTGGAAAGTGATTTCTAGTTACTAAGACTTAACTTCAGCAATCTTTGTTCAAGGTAGTTTCCCCATCAGTCTTTCAGTCCCAGAGACTTCAACCCCCTTGGCTGAAGGGCCCATCTTTCTAGGCTCGCAAGAGCTCCAGCCCCTTGTGTCTGTCTAGTGATGGATGTCAAGATGGCTCCTTCTCTTTCCTTATATCTTCACAAACTCACTGTTTTGTCCCCAGACTTAGGATTACCTCATGCTGTCCTTTCCTTCCTGTGGATTTCCCATCCCCCTGCTGATTTGTATGTAAATGGAGTTTTCCATTGTTTTTGGTCACACTTTGCTTAATTTCAATGGGGACAGGTAAATAGCTGCCTTTCCACCTGTCTGGGGGAAACCTGTTTCTCCCTGTGTTAGGTCACAGACTTTAAAGCATAGTATCATTGAATATTCATAATTCCTCACGTAGTGGTTCAGACTCCCTGTCTTTATACACCAGAGGCTCTCTCCTCCACTCGCTAGATTGATGGCTTTGTTTACCTTCTAAGTAAATGTGCCTTCATTGTCTCTGCCTGACAATCAGGCAGGTCAGACACAAAATACTCATTCCTTTGTCTAGGACAGACTGGGCTTAAGCAGTGCTTGCCAAACACATTTTAAGAATATAATTCTAGCACATATCCATAACTCTTTGTACATACTCCATACCTACATGCAAAAATATTAATGATCAGTGAGTTATTAGTTTTCCAATGAATTATATCATGCCACCCGTTCGGTATATATCATGACAACAGTTTGTTAGGTGTAGTAAGTATGTCAAGCCTGGTCAGGTTCTTTCTTCAGTGCACTGCTCATCATTAGCAGACAAACTTGTTTGGTAATAATGAGCAGTGTACTGAAGAAAGAACCACAGATACTTCTCTCCTCATTGGCCTAAGAGCTGCTCAATAAACTCATACAGAGCTGTAAACAAAAAGAAATGTCATTTCTTCAAGCTCTTATGAGTTGGGAAAGAACAACTATAAAGAAAACAGATTGAGTACTGAAGTAGGGACTAGGAGTAGGAGAGGTAGGGATGATTTTAACTGCTCAGTTTGCATCCTACTTGGCAAGCATTGACATTTCTGCTCTCTTCAGAGCATTGTACTGTTGTACATGTGCATCAATGCAGAGACAACTAATGATTCATGCTGTAGAATCAGGGCTTGACTTGTCCCAGCAGATCAAGGAGACTTGCTTGCTGTCTTCTAAAACCATCATTTTTGTCCCAGTAATTTTTTTTGTTGGTTTCTCCAGTACATTTCTATAAACACACACAACTGTATTAAGATTCTTAGTGTCTGGAACTGGTAGAGTTTTTATGTTATGAGCAAATTTCTTTTAGTATGCCACAGTTGGAAGTTTACTTGTGATTGTTGTATTTATCAGTATGTTGTTAAGAAAATGAGTACTTGGGGTATTTGTTTGCTAATTAATAATGAAGCAAAGACAATGTTTTGAAGAGCTCAACTTTTCATGAATCTAGTAAATATGGGACTCTTTCTCAAGGTTTTATGGATGCTGCCATTAAATCATACATAGACTATATGGCCAGATTTTCAAAGATGTTGAGCACATACAACTCCCAATGACTTTACTAGGAACACCTCTGAAAAACCAACCAGTAGGTTCTGGTTATAGTCATACTGAAAGGCTACTCAGAAGCATTCACTTTGTGGGAAAATAGAGATTCTAGTCCATTATAAAATAATATCAGATTTCTTAATTTCATTAACATATATAAATAGATATACAAGATAGGTTTAGAGAGAGATGGTAGAGATAAAAATGTTAACAAGTGCTTTTAATATTAATAAATGGATAATAAATTAAATAAGGAATGTTTGCTTGTGAGGGCAGTAGTGTTATGAGATTAACATTAGATAAAAATGAAAAGTACAGAAAGTGACATTTTCCATTAAGAATATATAAAAAAAAGTGTCAAGATAGAAGTTATGTGACTGGCTTACCATGCTGACCAGTATTGTTTCATTGTTTGCTTGTGCTCCCCTTCTCTGCTTTTGAATTCATCTGTTCTCGCTCATCTTATACTGTAGCGCAGACTGTGGAGTGGTGTGTGTAAATTATAGAGAGCATCAGAGTGTGGGTGTAACTATCTGTTGTGTACATTGCTGGCATGAACAAAGAGGTGCCTCGTTCATAGTCCCATTTCAAAGAGTACGTTACCAAGAACTAGGAACCTCTTCATTTGCGCTAGCACTGTCCACTCAGGGCAGTTACAATGCAACACTTTAATGCACTTTGCAATTTACTCCAAAGCTCCCATATTCCACACCGAGGCACAGTGTAGATGAGCCCTTAGTTAAAACTGAATAGAGAGCTGTAAGGGTATGTCTACACTTCAATTGCACAGTCGCAGTTGGCCCATGCCAGCTGACTTGGCTCAGGCCAAGGGGTTGTTTAATTGTGGTGTAGACATTTGGACTTGGACCATTTTTAAGAGCATGTCGAACAGGGTGTTATTTTATAGCGCACTGCCCTGCCCCAACCGGCATGACCTCAGATGCACGATGCATGAGAGGTCACAGTAACTGGGAGAGAGCAATGCGCTCTTCAGAATGGCATCTGATATTGGACAAAACCACGTCCAGTTTTATCTCAGCTGCATCTGATTAGTTAAAAATCTCACCCTGATAGGGGCAGGCCACCCTGCTACGAGAGCTTTAAAAAAACAGTGTTACACACATGCTAAGTATGACATTTGTTTTGGAGGGATATCCTTTCTATTTAAGGTTGCAGCCAGTGTCCACTATAAGTCCTATATGAACTTGGATTAGCAAATCTGGTTTGGCCTGAAAACTGACAAATTTCCTTAAAAGCTAAAGAGAATGTATTTACTTCCCTGCTATCATTTTAAATCCAAGCAATTTCTCTTACCGAATCAGCATCACTCTCTATCCAGAGCAGTATGATAATTCCATTTAATCCTAGTTTAAGCGATCACAACATTCATAAATGTGAACTCAGATTTCATTATCCTTAAGATAAAAAATAAACCTAACCTTTTTTAAAGGAGGAAACCATTTTATTTTGGATAATAGTGTTTTTGGTCTTTTCCATCTGTGAGCTACAGAAAAAAAACATAATGGCTGGGCAACTCTTATATGTTGTCTATCAACTTTCTGAACTGATTTTGAAAGAATTCTTAATGTGATACATAACATAAATACAGAACACACTGTAATAAATTAAGATGCATTTATAAACCTATTTGTAATTAATAATTTACAGTGAAGATATAGGAAGAGAGAACAGTATGAAGTTTTAGCACTGCCTAGTCCAATACAGTTATTCTGGGGTTTTGTTTGTTTTTTCTTTCCCACAGATCAGTGAAGGAGCAGAGTGCATTTTTATTCCCAAAAAACTTTTTCTAGACAAAGCACCTGTCAAGTCGAGAAAGATGGCTCTCGAGCTGGTGAAAAGTTACCCCTCAGAGAGCATGATTATGGAGAACTATACTAGGCATCAAGCTTGGAATACTTACAAGGCCAACCTTATTGGACAACAGCTTGAGAGACAAGCTATGCCAACTTCAGCTCGCTTTTCTTTTTAAGGTGTCTATGGTGGTGCCTTATGGCCAGATACTTCTTCTTTTAGTGAATGAGATAATGATGATACTCAAGCATGTGCTAATGGGAAAATATGTACTGTCCATGACTATATACACACAGGATAATGCAGACATGTTATATGCCTTTTAAATAAAGTTTGTTCCCTTGTATAAAACTGCAAGTATTTCTGATCAATAGGCCTGATCCTAAGAGCCAACAAAGATTCCAATGGGAGTTGCTGCCCTCGAAGATCAGAGCCTAAAAATCACCTGTTTTTGTCCTACACTTCTCTTTTAAATAGTATGTTGAAGTTCCTAGCTCTTCCTCTACCACTCCAGGTGTGCCACAATTCTTATTGGTTTGGCTATAGTCAGTATCTGAGTATCATTGCTGTGGCCACAGTGCAAACAAACCAGCCAGCACATTGTAATGGAGATTTTAGTTTTCTTCTACACTGTAAAAACTCATGTTAGATGGATGCCATTATAAAAACTTTGATAAGCCTCTTGTAAACAAAAGTCAGGGGAGCAGACAATCAAATACCGTGTGGTGCCAGTTTACCATTATGGGGAAATGGATGGAACAATAGAAGAGGTAGAGCTGAGGCTGATATTAATGTTAGAATAAAACAAGGAGTTCTGCATTGTATAGGTATACTTTATATTTCTTCTTTCTATTGTCATAGGAAGGAATGATTCCGACTACAGGGTTGGGAGTTAAAGTCTGAGTTTGAGCTTGCTATTAATTCACTGCAGGGTCTTAAGCAAATCATTTCACGTCCTTGCCTCACTTTCACTATTTATAAAATGGGCATAACAATCTACTTCACAGAAATGTTCTGAGGATAAATTACTGAATATTTATATAGTGCTTTGAACATATCAAGTGTTATATACAGTATGCAGGGCTTCCAGTATCTTAAGATGCAGCTTTCTGTATATTCAGCCTTGTGGGGATTAAATTTTATCTCTGCAAGGCCTTTACAGGCCTGTCTTCTGCTCTTTCTATAGCATTTCTTGTGCACAGGAAAGACCCAGTCTATGGCAACTGCAAAAAGGAATGGCCCTGCTAGAGTTAATAATCTCTGTGTCTAGCCCTGTGACAGCGTGCAGAAGGGCAAGAGAAGGCTGTAAAGAGCTTGTCCTCACCTTGTGTGACAGGAGAGCAAAGGATCACAATTGCACCTGGCTCAGTGGTCAGATGTAGAAATAGAAACTATGGGGTGGCTTCCCTTCCATCTCAGTCAATAGAGCTAGCCAGACACTGTAAGGGAGCAGTATGACTGCTCAGAGCTCCGGTACGAAACTGCAGAAAAACCTGAGTGTCTCTGGATTAAGTTTAGAAGTGTGAGCAACAAGAGTGATGTAGTGGCAGGAGTCTGCTATAGACCACCGGACCAGGGGGATGAGGTGGATGAGGCTTTCTTCCGGCAGCTCGCGGAAGCTACTAGATCGCATGCCCTGGTTCTCATGGGTGACTTTAATTTTCCTGATATCTGCTGGGAGAGCAATACAGCGGTGCATAGACAATCCAGGAAGTTTTTGGAAAGCATAGGGGACAATTTCCTGGTGCAAATGCTAGAGGAGCCAACTAGGGGGGGAGCCTTTCTTGACCTGCTGCTCACAAACCGGGAAGAATTAGTAGGGGAAGCAAAAGTGGATGGGAATCTGGGAGGCAGTGACCATGAGTTGGTCGAGTTCAGGATCCTGACACAGGAAAGAAAGGTAAGCAGCAGGATACGGACCTTGGACTTCAGGAAAGCAGACTTCGACTCCCTCAGGGAACGGATGGGTAGGATCCCCTGGGGGACTAACATGAAGGGGAAAGGAGTCCAGGAGAGCTGGCTGTATTTCAAGGAATCCCTGTTGAGGTTACAGGGACAAACCATCCCAATGTGTCAAAAGAATAGTAAATATGGCAGGCGACCAGCTTGGCTTAACGGTGAAATCCTAGAGGATCTTAAGCATAAAAAAGAAGCTTACAAGAAGTGGAAGGTTGGACATATGACCAGGGAAGAGTATAAAACTATTTCTCGGGCATGTAGGAATGAAATCAGGAGGGCCAAATCGCACCTGGAGCTGCAGCTAGCGAGAGATGTTAAGAGTAACAAGAAGGGTTTCTTCAGGTATGTTGGCAACAAGAAGAAAGCCAAGGAAAGTGTGGGCCCCTTAATGAATGAGGGAGGCAACCTAGTGACGGAGGATGTGGAAAAAGCGAATGTACTCAATGCTTTTTTTGCCTCTGTCTTCACTAACAAGGTCAGCTCCCAGACTGCTGCGCTGGGCATCACAACATGGGGAATAGATGGCCAGCCCTCTGTGGAGAAAGAGGTGGTTAGGGACTATTTAGAAAAGCTGGACGTGCACAAGTCCATGGGGCCAGACGAGTTGCATCCGAGAGTGCTAAAGGAACTGGCGGCTGTGATTGCAGAGCCATTGGCCATTATCTTTGAAAACTCGTGGCGAACGGGGAAGTTCCGGATGACTGGAAAAAGGCTAAAAAGGCTAAAAGGCCAGTCTTTAAAAAAGGGAAGAAGGAGGATCCTGGGAACTACAGGCCAGTCAGCCTCACTTCAGTCCCCGTAAAAATCATGGAGCAGGTCCTCAAAGAATCAATCCTGAAGCACTTACGTGAGAGGAAAGTGATCAGGAACAGTCAGCATGGATTCACCAAGGGAAGGTCATGCCTGACTAATCTAATCGCCTTCTATGATGAGATTACTGGTTCTGTGGATGAAGGGAAAGCAATGGATGTATTGTATCTTGACTTTAGCAAAGCTTTTGACACGGTCTCCCACAGTATTCTTGTCAACAAGTTAAAGAAGTACGGGCTGGATGAATGCACTATAAGGTGGGTAGAAAGTTGGCTAGATTGTCGGGCTCAACGGGTAGTGATCAATGGCCCCATGTCTAGTTGGCAGCCGGTGTCAAGTGGAGTGCCCCAGGGGTCGGTCCTGGGGCCGGTTTTGTTCAATATCTTCATAAATGATCTGGAGGATGGTGTGGATTGCACTCTCAGCAAATTTGCGGATGATACTAAACTAGGAGGAGTGGTAGATACGGTGGCAGGTAGGGATAGGATACAGAGGGACCTAGACAAATTGGAGGATTGGGCCAAAAGAAATCTGATGTGGTTCAATAAGGATAAGTGCAGGGTCCTGCACTTAGGACGGAAGAACCCAATGCACAGCTACAGACTAGGGACCGAATGGCTAGGCAGCAGTTCTGCGGAAAAGGACCTAGGGGTGACAGTGGACGAGAAGCTGGATATGAGTCAGCAGTGTGCCCTTGTTGCCAAGAAGGCCAATGGCATTTTGGGATGTATAAGTAGGGGCATAGCGAGCAGATCGAGGGATGTGATCGTCCCCCTCTATTCGACATTGGTGAGGCCTCATCTGGAGTACTGTGTCCAGTTTTGGGCCCCACGCTACAAGAAGGATGTGGATAAATTGGAAAGAGTCCAGCGAAGGGCAACAAAAATGATTAGGGGTCTGGAACACATGACTTATGAGGAGAGGCAGAGGGAACTGGGATTGTTTAGTCTGCAGAAGAGAAGAAGGAGGGGGGATTTGATAGCTGCTTTCAACTACCTGAGAGGTGGTTCCAGAGAGGATGGTTCTAGACTATTCTCAGTGGTGGAAGAGGACAGGACAAGGAGTAATGGTCTCAAGTTGCAGTGGGGGAGGTTTAGGTTGGATATTAGGAAAAACTTTTTCACTAGGAGGGTGGTGAAACACTGGAATGTGTTGCCTAGGGAGGTGGTGGAATCTCCTTCCTTAGAAGTTTTTAAGGTCAGGCTTGACAAAGCCCTGGCTGGGATGATTTATTTGGGGATTGGTCCTGCTTTTGAGCAGGGGGTTGGACTAGATGACCTCCTGAGGTCCCTTCCAACCCTGATATTCTATGATTCTATGATTCTACCCTGTTGGAGGGTGTAGCAACAGTCATTGTTGTGCACCTTCCCTCAGTGCTCCTGACAGCATGATGCTTGCTCAGAAGTGAACTCAAAAGGAGGGAAGAGACAGAAGTAGAAGAAATCAACGGAGGTGGAGTAAATGCCATCCCTTCAGAAACAGCAGGTCTTCAGGAAGAGCAACTGTCCTGATTTTAAAAGGGAAAAGCATCTTATTAAGAAGGGACAAATTTAGCCCTGGTATTAGGTACCCACTTTAAATTAGGGCTGAATTTGTTCCCCACACTTTACTTAAGTTATCCTAACAGAATGGAGAACTTAAATAAGAATTTCAATGGGGATATCCTCAGAAACATGTTGCAAAATCAAAACATTTAGTTTCAAGAAAAGCACTTAAGGTTGCTAGCTGACAAGTAGGTATCTATCATGTTTAAAAAACAAACCTTAAAAGCGATGAAATTAAGTTAATAATGGAGCTCTACCTTGAACACATTGATACCTACTTTTATCCCTAAATGAAGTCATTTAAAACATGTTTAATCCCAATAAGTGTGATATAGTTTATTCAACATTCTCAGAAAATGTTCACATTGTCAATGAGAATTTTTTTCTTTGTCTTAAAGTTACAAAAAGGGCTCAAAATCAGAACCTTTGTTATTAGCTTAACACCTGAGAAGCTCTGCTAAATCACTGTTCCCCCTGTGTCACTTGATCCCTTGTGGAGTTCTGTGCTAGAAATTTTGAAAATCTATTTATGAAAAGGTGATTGTAGCAGGGTGTACCTGGTCTTTGCAGCTCCCTACGGGAGGCCCCACAGCCCTACTACTCCCCACCCCAGGAGCAGTAAAATGGGAGGGAAAGAGTTGCAAAAAGTGGGTCCTCCAGGCCTCCATAAAGAGGCCTCCCTGGAGCAACCATCTTGGAAACTAGAGAGACCTGGCTGTCAAAAGGCTAACAGGGCAAATGACAGCCAATCAGAGCCCAGCAGGCTCAGATAAAAGGGGCTGCAGGGCATTAACAGTTCAGTTGCTGGGTGGAAACAGAGGGATGAGGGAGGATGCTTGTCTCTGGCCAAAGATGCTTGAGGGATAGCTAATGTTTTTTTTCTGGCTGCATTTTGCATATCTGGGTTTATAGGGGAGAAGAGGACCTGAGAACCTTAACTCTGAGATAAGGGTGAAGCTAAAGGCAGGAAGAGACCCAGGGAAATAGTAGCAATGAACTGAATCAAGTATGTGGCTGATATTTTA